GATAAAAAGAATTGCAGAATACAGTAATACATGATTATCTTGTTCTTACAAATATAATCCAAATGTTGATACACATTTTGTTTATCTTAGTCCACTTCCTCTGGAGCAGATACAGGATAGCTGTCTACAAGAAATAAATAAAAGATAATAGTGCAATATCATCAAACAAATTGTGCTTCAATTCAAATGGATAACCCAACCACCTACAATATTAGGTCTTCGGGGATGTCTGCCCCGGGAGCTGTGGCAGTAGGACCCACAAAATTCAACAGGGACCGGTGGAAGACAGACCAAAAATGGGTTAGATACAAAAAATGTATCTGAAAATCTGGCAAAATGACAAGAGAAAATAGATAGATTTTACTACATGTAATGGAGTGGATTTACTAAAGGTAACGGGGTGGATTTACTAAAAGTAATGGGGTAGATTTACTAAAAGTAATGGGGTAGATTTACTAAAAGTAATGGAGTGGATTTACTAAAAGTAATGGGGTAGATTTACTAAAAGTAATGGAGTGGATTTACTAAAAGTAATGGGGTGGATTTACTAAAAGTAATGGGGTGGATTTACTAAAAGTAATGGGGTGGATTTGCTAAAGGCACATAGACTGAGCACTTTGCAAGTGAAGTTTCTTCAGAGCTTAGCAGACAAGGGGGAGCTCTGCTGACTTTCATCATTCAATCATGTGCCAGCAAAAAGTAATAAATGGGGAAGGGAATATAGGCGCCCAAGGAACCAATATAGGGTTGTATGTCAATTTAAAAAATCGTTAAAATTATATAATATTGCACTCACAAAGGTGAAGTGTATGCAGGCATGTCATTATGACAGAAGTCCATAACCGAAGGCAGATGGATGGTTTGAGCTGCTGGGAGCTTGATGGAAAGGCAGCCACTGGAGCTGCAGAGGGACAGGGCGCCTTGGTGAGCGGGATGCAAAGCCAGCAGCATGGCAGTACAGCATGCCTGGACCACTACTTAATTACAGCACACATTTAATTATTTATTTCCTTCTGTGAATTGACTGTAACCCTTTTTTATGCAGTATTTTGCAAGTGTTTTGAGGGTCAGTTCACACCACAAAAACTCAGTCCGGATGCGATTTTGCTTACGGTTCACACCACAAAAACGCAGTCCAGATGCGATTTTGCTTACGGTTCACACCACAAAAACGCAGTCTGGATGCAATTTTGTTTACAGCTCACACTCTGTTCTGGTGCATTTTCTATGCATTTTGCTGTGTTCCAGTACAGTTCTGTGCAGGCAAAATGCAGCATGTTTCTACTTTTTTTTTCTACGCTGGAAACTGACTGGAACTGACCACACCGATGTGAACTTGGGACATTGGAATTTATGGAAAACACTGTGCATGCATTTTTACTGCAGAAAAAAAATGCACTGGACTGCATCGGGTGTGAACTAGCCCTGAGTGTTTTGTGGTAATTACCACAAAACTGAATAGTGAATTGACAATTTCAGGATCGCATGCAATATTTAAGGAAAATGTGTCCAGACACCTAAATACCGACCCCAGGGAGGCAAAACGATGAGCATCTTGGAAAGCACAGAGCACAGGGCATACAGGAATGGCAGGAGTATAGTGCAGGACTGGAATTCTGATCTTACAGATAGGCAGGACAAGGACTACTAGTAAGAAACACTTAAAGTGGTAGTAGACTCTAATTTATTATTTGTACCTACAGGAAAGCTTACCTGTAGGCAAAATTAATATGTCCTAAACATGCAATCTGCAGCAGCGCATACTGTATGCTCTGAAGGAATGGCGTGCCACATCCGAGACTCATGTGTGAGGAAGTGACATCATCGTGGCACAGCTAATCAAGCGGCTGCAGCCCGTGAACCCGGAAGGAAGACCAGGTGAAGATGAAAGCCTCTGCAGAGGTAACAGAGCGCCATGGATGGCTTTATTTTCAGGTAAGTCTTTCATAATGTTCTAGTATATGATGCATACTAGCACTTTATGCCTTTGCCTTGTAGGGAAAAACTTTTTGCTTTGTTTAGAGTTTACTACCCCTTTAACTCAGAGGCATCCCTAGGTAACACATGGTGTCACCCAGAGCGGAAGGAGCTGTGCCGATGTAGCGGTAAAATGAGTATCCCATGAAGATATGTATCCCCTGAAGCAATTGCGCATGTGCCAGTTTCCAGCCGAAGAAGCCGATCTCCAACTTTAGCACAGAGCTGCCACAGTTAACCCCTTATAGGCTGCAGACCGCTGAAGCGGATCCCGTGGATCACTATGGGTTGCAGGATCAGTTAACCCCAGGGGCGGACTGACCATTTGGAAACTCGGGCACTGCCCAAGGGCCCGGGGTCAGTAGGGGGCCCCATGAGATCCCCCTTGGTACCTTTCATAGGCTTTTTTGGGTGTGGTTTGAGTGTGGGCAAGGACACAGGGCCCCATGATCCCCTATTGCCCGGGGGCCCCATGAGTTGTCAGTCCGCCCCTAGTTAACCCCATATAGGTTGAACCACGGGATTCGCTTCAGCAGTTTGCAGCATGTAAGGGATTAACTGTGGCAGCTCTGTGCTAAAGTCGGAGATCAGCAATCGGCTTCTTAAGTCTGAAACCGGCACATGCGCAGTTGCTTCAGGAGATACATATCTTCACGGGATACTCATTTTACCGCTACACCGGAGGCAGCTGTCACTGTGGCGGGAATCCGAGATCACCCCATTAACTGGCCAGGACCTTCACAGAGCCCAGAAGCTCTGCTGGCATCCTGCCCCTGCACCCCCTGTGATGGTGTCACCCGGTGCAGCCCGCACCCCCCTAGGGACGCCACTTCTTTAACTACACTAGGGTGCAGGGCTCACAGGAAGACAGGAGTATCACAGCAGCAGTGGGAGCTTAGATGCTGAGCTTACAGAAAAACAGAGGTAATATGTATGAGATACATGGAAGTGCACAGGGGGTCTCAGGGAATGCAGGTATACAGGAATAAAGACGAGGACACGAGTCCAGGACAGGGAGGATACCTATTGGTACTGTCTGGGTAGAACCCAGCCTGCCTGAATGTACAGTGAAGGTAAGGGCCCTTGCAAGGGCTGAGGTGCAAAGTCTAAGGAACCACCTGGTCTTTCAGAACTCCTGAAGGTGGAGATGGGACAATTGCAAGGATGCAGTTTTCTGACTCACCCGAGCAGGCAGCTAATGGGAGCATAGGGTTTTGCGGATCCACTTGCTGAGCAGGGGATCTCTCTGCTGATCCCCACTGAGCAAGAGGATGACAGTTCTGTGTCCACTCCGCTGCTGCAGAGCAGACACAGAGCTGCTTGCTCTCCTCTATGGGTGGTCGGATGAAAACTGACCACCTGTCCATTTTCACCCGACCCAATCCGACAGACAGAAAGGGAATTGGATCCCCATCTGTCCCTTTTTGGCAGATCAGATGTCGGCAGGTGTAAACAACACACGTTTGTTTACACCCACTGCTCCATAGAGGAGAATGGAGGTTCCAATTGTGTTCGCCTGAAAAACGGGCCGGTGGACCCGATCAGAACGTCTGTGTGAAAGAACCCTAAGGGCTAAAAAAATGGGTGAGAAACCCTTGCAGTGGTGAGGAGCAGGGATCCCAGGACAGTAGGGAGCACAGCTCAGGCTGGCACATGTGGGAAGAAGTGCACAGACACACACGGGGGGGGGGGGGGGGGGGGGGGGGGGAGAACTGTTTGACTGTTTGTAAACAAAAACAAAAGAATTTTCCTCCTTGTCAGCTCGTGCACACTGCTTTGCAAAGCAGTGTGCTTACAGTGAAGCACAAACACACAGCCCCTAGTAAAACAGCACACAGTTAACCCTTTGATCGTCCCACATGTTAACCCCTTTCTGCCCAGTGTCATTAGTACAGTGTCAGAACTTTTTATTAGCATTGATCACTGTATTGGTGTCACTGGAGATGTCAGTGACACCAAGTCAGTTCCCCCTAGTGTCAGAATGCCTGCTGCAGTTCCGCAGCTATAAGTCGCTGAGCACCGCCATTACTAGTAAAAATTAAAAAAAAAATTCCCAGTATATATACTGCCATTTGTAGATGCTATAACTTTCACGTAAACCAATTAATTTACATGTATTGGGATTTTTTTTAGCAAAGACATGTAGCAGAATACATTTTGGCCTAAATTTTTGACAAAATGTGATTTTGTTTTGTTTTTTTACTGAACATGTTTAATAGCAGAAATATCATTTTCTTCCTCAAAACTGTCAGCCTTTTTTTTTTTATAGCGCAAAAAATAAAAACCACAGAGGCGATCAAATACCACCGAAAAAAAAAGCTCTATTCGTGGGAAAAGGAGGACGTAAATTTAATTTGAGTGCATTGTTGCATGACAGCGCAATTGTCAATTAAAGTAACGCAGTGCCGTAACACAAACAATGGCCTGGTCAGGAAGAGGGGTAAATCCTCAGGAGGGCAAGTGGTTAAGAAAAGTACAGCATGCTGCATTTTTTTCATACCGGAATCCACCAAAAAAGGCATGAACGCACCCAAGCACACAGCAAATGCGCATGAATGTGTGTAAATGAAATTTAGAAAAGCATGCATGAATGAAATAAATAAAAAACGTATTCCAACACCACATGTAAACGCACTGAAAACATGCGCAGATGCACATGCAGAAAAGTACATTGAACACAGAGATTGTGGTGTAAATGAGTCCTGAAGCAGACTACAGGCACAGGTGATGCTAACAAATAGACAGGAATTCAAAGGATTTCACAGAGGGACTGGAATGCTAAAAGCTACACAAAGGTACACAAAGAAAACAGAAGCACAGGGACACTGGAATGCTGAAAGGACAGAACATGTGCAGGGATACAGGTTGCAACCAGGATCACACTGAGATTCAGTGGGGACAGGCTGGAAGACACTGGGGGTAAAGGCACTGGGAGATGCTTGAAAACAGACACTAGGAATGGCGGGATCTACAGGATCACAAAGAAAATCAAGGTCACTAGGAGTCAGGGGTGGACTGATAACTCATGGGGCTCCCGGGCAATAGGGGATCATGGGGCCCCTGTGTCCTCGTCCACACTCAAACCACACCCAAAAAAAACCTATGAAAGGTGCCAGGGGCACCTCATGGGGCCCCTTACTAACCCCGAGCCCTTGGGCAGTGCCCGAGTATCCCAATGGTCAGTCCGCCCCTGCTAGGAGTTTCTCAGAACATAGAACAATGGGAGTATAGGGGTCACATAGAATCTTCTAAGGAAGTCAAGGACACAAGTACTCTTGGGGTCACAAGGCATATACTCAGGAAGCTATGGACATGAAGAAGCATTGAGGGTACACTAGAAATCACTCCACCAAAAATAATGGGGTAAACTGGGGACTTGGCACTAGGATCACTTAGCTGCTGCTCAACCTAAAGCAGAAGTAAGCACCACTTGGACACTAAAAATACAATAAAGCGTACCTGTAGGTACAAGGAATATTTCCTAAAGGTATTAGAAGGTATTCACTGTTTCTGTGTAGCCGGTTACATCACCAGGGCATGCACACTGCGCTCTGAATTGAGGGCCCAGGAAACCAGGGTGCACTACTGAACAGCTGTAATTTGACAGTTTATTCTTTTAATGTGTTGTTTATGTTTTATTTATTTAGCACAGAAACTGTAGAACAGAAGTTTTTAAAATGCCTAATTCTGTTCCATCTCTATCCTGTGTAACCTCTGTAGCTGCTATGTTGTAACCATTAGAATACTACGTGCTAGGTTTGTATGAATACAGAAGGAATAGGAAATAGAAGATCCATAGGTAAGTCAGATGTGACGGAAGGCGAGAGCTGAGAAAACTGCAGTCCAGTCAAACAGAGTTGAAAGGGGGGGCCAGAATCGATGCGTGTCCACTGTGCCCATGAGATTTAATCTGACTGCCTGCAGCCCTTGTTGATCAGATGCGACCTGACATCCTCATGGCAAATGCACAAAACGGAGATAAGAGATTGGATGTCTAAAGCTACAATCAGCAACAACTACAGTCACCAAACAAACCCTTTTACCACCGACAATCTAGGTAAAATGTATCCTGCTTTTAAAAAATACATATTTTGATATTCTACTATACTTTTAATTATAGTGAATGTCCTGCAAATTAATATTTAACTAACAGAGTGATTTATTTTGCTGTTACATTTGTGTTAACTTTAGCTATGACTGCAGGTTATTAAAAACATAACCACACAAATATTGTCCTTTTCTACTGTTTTACATTACGTTTGGTTAGTATATTATTTTTAAAAGTAGGAAAAGTTTTTTTATCTTTCACACAAACATGCATACTCGAATCACACAGGTATGTGCCTTTTGTCTGCGGAAGAGAGAAAGGGGATCACATCCAGAAACCTCTGGCTCTAGCTTGTCTCAGAGGAAAACATCAATCCATATATTCACCCAGGTCTGCCAATCGGGAGTGCGAGGTACACATTAATGGTGGCCAGGATGATTGTTTCCTATCAGCAAAAGGCTGATTAGGCATCTGCCTTAGAGCACCAGGGTAGGGGGCAGAAAAATCTGAAACCCCAGCCACTTGCAGGGGATTCAGATTTTTACCCCCTTCCTGCCACCTGTACACATATATGCAGCCTCAATGAAGTGGGTCTTCTTCCATGAGGATGCATACAGTCAGGTCCATAAATATTGGGACATCGACACAATTCTAACATTTTTGGCTCTATACACCACCACAATGGATTTGAAATGAAACGAACAAGATGTGCTTTAACTGCAGACTGTCAGCTTTAATTTGAGGGTATTTACATCCAAATCAGGTGAACGGTGTAGGAATTACAACAGTTTGCATATGTGCCTCCCACTTGTTAAGGGACCAAAAGTAATGGGACAATTAGCTTCTCAGCTGTTCCATGGCCAGGTGTGTGTTTTTCCCTCATAATCCCAATTACAATGAGCGGATAAAAGGTCCAGAGTTCATTTCAAGTGTCCTATTTGCATTTGGAATCTGTTGCTGTCAACTCTCAAGATGAGATCCAAAGAGCTGTCACTATCAGTGAAGCAAGCCATCATTAGGCTGAAAATACAAAACAAACCCATCAGAGAGATAGCAAAAACATTAGGCGTGGCCAAAAACAACTGTTTGGAACCTTCTTAAAAAGAAGGAACGCACCGGTGAGCTCAGCAACACCAAAAGACCTGGAAGACCACGGAAAACAACTGTGGTGGATGACCGAAGAATTCTTTCCCTGGTGAAGAAAACACCCTTCACAACAGTTGGCCAGATCACGAACACTCTCCAGGAGGTAGGTGTATGTGTGTCAAAGTCAACAATCAAGAGAAGACTTCACCAGAGTGAATACAGAGGGTCACCACAAGATGTAAACCATTGGTGAGCCTCAAAAACAGGAAGCCCAGATTAGAGTTTGCCAAAACGACATCTAAAAAAGCCTTCACAGTTCTGGAACAACATCCTATGGACAGATGAGACCAAGATCAACTTGTACCAGAGTGATGGGAAGAGAAGAGTATGGAGAAGGAAAGGAACTGCTCATGATCCTAAGCATACCACCTCATCAGTGAAGCATGGTGGTGGTAGTGTCATGGCGTTGGCATGTATGGCTGCCAATGGAACTGGTTCTCTTGTATTTATTGATGATGTGGACTGCTGACAAAAGCAGCAGGATGAATTCTGAAGTGTTTCGGGCAATATTATCTGCTCATATTCAGCCAAATGCTTCACAACTCATTGGACGCTTCACAGTGCAGATGGACAATGACCCAAAGCATACTGCAAAAGCAACCAAAGAGTTTTTTAAGGGAAAGAAGTGGAATGTTATGCAATCCAAGTCAATCACCTGACCTGAATCCGATTGAGCATGCATTTCACTTGCTGAAGACAAAACTGAAGGGAAAATGCCCCAAGAACAAGCAGGAACTGAAGACAGTTGCAGTAGAGGCCTGGCAGAGCATCACCAGGGAACCTTTCACCTGATTTGGATGTAAATACCCTCAAATTAAAGCCGACAGTCTGCAGTTAAAGCACATCTTGTTCTTTTTATTTCAAATCCATTGTGGTGGTGTATAGAGCCAAAAATGTTAGAATTGTGTCCATGTCCCAATATTTATGGACCTGACTGTATATGTGTATCAGTGTTTGTGCTGGGAGAGCCCTCTGAGAGCCCCAGATTAATGACTTGGCTTTGCATTTGCATACTATTGCTAAGTCTGTAATCTTCAAGCACCCTCAGATCCTTTTCCATTTATTTATTTATTTCAGGTACTTATATAGCACTGTCATTTTACGCAGCGCTTTACATATATATTGTACATTCACATCAGTCCGTAACCCTCAAGGGGCGTACAATCTAAAGTCCCTAACGTACATTCATATACTAGGGCCAATTTAGACAGGAGCCAATTAACTTACCAGCATGTCTTTGGAGTGTGGGAGGAAACCGGAGTACCCGGAGGAAACCCACGCATGCACAGGGAGAACATGCAAACTCCAGGCAGGTTGTGCCATGGCTGGGATTTGAACCGACGACCCTAGTACTGCCACTGATTCTTCAGGGGGAGCCCCTCCTAATGTATATTTTGTGTGTTTATTTTTGCAACCCAAGTGCATAACTTTACATTATGCTGAATACAATCTCTCAAGACACATTTATTAACCGCTTCCCATCCACCCTATAGCAGAAGTACTGCTACAGGATGGCATGGGTGTGTAAAATCATGTATATATTCGAGGCTGCGGCTGTCAATCAACGGGTCCTGGCCTGTGATTACTCGCCGGCACTCAGTGACTGCTGAGCATCTCCAACGGGAGGAGAACTGTTTCTGAACAAATCAGTTCTCTCCCCTGTCAGCTCCTGCACACTGATTTGCATGGCTGTGCATAGCAAAGCAGTGTGCTTACAGTGAAGCACAAACACACAGTCCCACAGTAAAACACACACAGCACACAGTTAACCCTTTGATTGCCCCACGTTAACCCCTTCCTGCCCAGTGCCATTAGTGCAGTGTCCGTGCTTTTTATTAGCACTGATCCCTGTACTGGTGTCACTGGGGATGTCACTGACACCAAGTCAGTTCCCCTCAGCGTCAGAATGCCTGCTGCAGTCCCACTATAAGTTGCTGATTGCCGCCATTACTAGTGAAAATGAAAAATAAATTAAAAAATTCAGTATATACACCGCCATTTGTAAACACTATAAATTTTTTAAATAATTTACACGTAATGGGATTTTTGTTTAGCAAAGACATGTAGCAGAATACATTTTGGCCTAAATTTATGACAAAATTTGATTTTTAAATTTTTTTTACTAGATATGTTTTTTTTTAGAGCACAAAAAATAAAAAACACACAGGCAATCAAATACCACAGAAAGAAAGCTCTGTTTGTGGGGAAAAAAGGACGTAAATTTCATTGGGGTGCAGTATTGCATGACCGCGCAATTGTCAGTTTAAGTAACACAGCACCACAAAAAATGGTCTGGTCAGGAAGGGGGGCAAATCCTCAGGAGGGCAAGTGGGCAATAAACATCACTACCCCTATATAGTTGTTGTCTGTAAGCTATTCTAGAAGACTGACAAAAATAAAGGTTTGAGTTTCTTTCACAATTTGAGTGTAATATTGTAATATAAGCAAGGTCTCTGCTCTTACTGAACTGTATTAAATTACAACTGCACAAAAAATATTTGAATCATTGAACAGAGTGGGGAGATGTTAGAACCACTGTCGGATGTTTTTTATTGCTGTCTAGGATCCCACAAAGACCTTCTGTCTTAAAGTGATACTAAACCCAGGACCCTGCATTCACAATATCTGGTCTCCCACAGTACACAGAACATGGAAATGCAATTATTTTAGCAAATATAAACTGCTAAATTCCTTTTCTCATCAGCAGTTACAGCAGTCTTGTGACTTCAACAGAGCACATGTTAAAGCTTGTAGGAGGACTTTTCTTTCTGCTCTAGGAGGATGCAAAATCCCTGACCCTCTGTCTGGACAGTGCTGATTGGCCCTGTGCTGATCACATGCACTCTACCAAGAAAAAAAACTATTTAGCAATACACACCAAACTGAACATGTGCATGTGGCTACCGGTTCAGTCTATCTTATCAGAAGATAAGACGTGGACATTTGAACAAGAGGAGAGGCAGAGAAGAGAGGATTGAACAGCCTTTTTACAGAATGCGGAGAAATAACCCCTTAGTGAGTATTAGAGATGAGCGAATTTTTCAAAAATTCGATTCGGCTGATTCGGCGAATTCCAGGAAGAAATTCGATTCGATGCGAATTAATTCGCTACGAAGTTAACTTATAAAAAGGGTTTCTAGGCTTCAGAGAGCCTTTAAATTAGTGCA